CACTGCCTATATTCAAATTAACCGCCAAATAACTACACAATCGCCTCTATTGCCCATCACCTCTATTTGGGTATGCCGGCGGTTCTTTACGCCGCCCGTAAACCATACTCTCTCCCGCGTCCCTGCTCGGCGCCACTTGTAAGGTTACTTTATTTTTCCAGCCGGGGTCATAGTCTCAATCTGCCCAAGACCATCACTTAACAAGAAATTTATAAGTTAATACGGACCATATCGAGAAATTGGAGAGGGAGGGGTGAGTTTTATAGGTTAGGCGACCACGCAGCCTGAGGTCGCCGAGCTCGCCGACCACGCCCACGCCCACGCGTTTGCACGTGGGAGTGCGGCAGCAATCGAGTGGCGCGATCAAGGGCGGGGGTCGGGGCTGCGAAGGCGCGCTGTGGTGAGGTAGTGGGCGATATGTAAATTCACACCTGCCAAATAATTTAATTTACGAAAAACAAAGTTTAAATTTATAGTTAAAGGAAACTGATAAATAGTCTTAAAATCAAACGAACCGAGATTTTAGGGTTTGTTGTTGGCCAACTTCAGAGGAATATTAGAAGAATTGTAACTGAGTACGGCTGGATGCAAAGTAAAATTGCAGAACACTATTGTTTAATTATTTTATTAAAGGGATACCAGACCCTTTTTGTATCAAGCTAGTTCAATTATACTGTTAAAGGTAAAGAAAGAGAGCTATCAGAGGATGCGGTATTCGAAGGATTCCAGTCAACAATGGTTGAGAAACAGAATTCAGGCAGAGATTTTTCGGATTGTCCTAAGAAAAATCTTTGTTGCTTTAAATGTGGTAAGCCCGGGCATCGTGCAAAGCATATGCCATGTGATTAGTCAAAAGATAAAAGGTTCGTTAGCGGAGGAAACAACGATTTTCGTAATGTTTCTACAATTGTTAGTGGCCAAGAGGAACGGCGAAAATATGAAGGAAGATATGTTTCGTACAAAACTGTTGAAGAGAAAAAATACGGAATTAAAACGTAGCATTCGGAGTCGTACAATATAGCAGAGACGAAACATCAGTTGGAGAGGGACCACATGTGATGACGACAGTGTCAGACTATATAAGGATAGGGAATTCTTTTGGGTCGAATGAGGTGTACGATTCCTAAAAGTTGCGACGTTCTTGGCAGACGACCAAAGAAAGATTGATGGTCGATCGTCAGAAAAGATTAAGATTCGTTTAATTAATTATTATTATTATTATTATAATTGTTAAAACACATGAACTCGTCATAGTTTATAATTAAGGGAAAATTGTAAAAAGACTAATGTAAACAATTTTTTTTCCTATATACATGTAACCCAACCTATATGAAAGCATGCTTGTCGCGATACTGATTGTGAATCCATTATTTATAATCCTCCCACAAAAACCTATAAAAACGTAAACATTTTGAATGGAAGGCTTCGGAATACTCTTCAAAAAAAGGAAGAAAAGTGATCGTCGCGAACAGATTTCACTTCTATGTATGACTATGAATGCATCAGTTTCATTCGTAAGCAGAAAGACGCAAAGAATTATTGAAATATCAGTTCAGGGGATTCTGTAGTCGAGCAGCCTCAACTAGCTTTTATGACCCAGTTTAATGAGCACGGAAGCACGAAGCTTAAAAATTGTATGTTATCGTAATTTTTGGACCGTCACTTACCCTTAGAGCGCCAGCGACAACAAGAACAGATTTGATAGCACGTAAACCCCAATCGTAATGGTCTTGCTTTGAGAGGAGTTCTTTACATAATGTATAAAGTGTAATAAATTTTCTCGCTAGCAAACGTGCTTCCTGAAATCCCTCCGCTACCAACATAATTTCACTAATAAGGGCAAAGTCAGGTACAACCATTGCACAGGGCCGATAAAGTGCTTTAAGGTTTTCCGGAAGCTCTGCTCGACCAGCATATCCAGGATTCATTGTTATGAATACACCAACTGTCGCTCGTAACGCAATGTATTCGCCTAAAAAGCTAAAGGTAGTTTTTTTTGCTTTTATTGCGTCCTGCATACATTTAACTTGAACAGCAACAACTGATAATACTTCTACTGATATGCGATTGAATTCATCGAAGCAACCCCAAGCTCCGGTTTGAGCAAGACCCTTATGGATATTACCAATTGATTGATAGTCCATTTGCTCAGAGCAATTAAAGACGTAGACCATCATACCTAACGCACGCCCTAAGTCCTTAGTTGTTTCGGTTTTGCCAGTACCAGCTGGACCAGCAGGAGCACCACCCATTACAAGGTGTAAGGACTGTGTAAGCGTTATATAACAACGATCGGTAAGTGGCGTAATTACAAGACGAGGAGTGTTTCCAAGATATTCATAGTCATAGCGAAATTGGGCATCACAAATGTTAGCAAAACAATCATCAATTTTGCTATCCCATCGGTGACGCAATTGACTTTGCCACTGAAATGCTGTCTGCACTTCAATTTTTTTTGCTATAATACTACCCACTACGTCACGACTGTGGACATCTATGGTACAAACAGTCATCACCTTTTGACGCTCTGCCGCTGTAAGATCACCCAATAAAAGTATAATAAGGTTATTTAGTTGATTCACTTGTTTTCTATTATAATCCTTAAGAGCATTTTCGTATCGCAACTGTACTTTAGCAAACGCATCATTAGTCTCAGCTGTCCACATAATTTGAGTGCCAACTAATGCTGGTTGCGCTGGCCATTCAAAAATCCAAACGTGACGAGGTTTATGATCATATTGAGTTAACGAACGTCTCAGTTGATCTCGAAGGGTTTCCCTCATCTTATCAGTAACGCGATTAAGCCAAACTTCTACTTTACCACTGCAATCGCAGTTTTGAAGAAATGGAACATATTCTTCTAGCTCCTTAGCCACCATCCCCCCGGCTTGCCTAGTTCCTGCTATGAGATTGAGCTTGCCCACGGAATCATATAATTTGGTTAAATGACGAGATACCATTGCTGGACTATTACCGTTTGACAAAATATCCAACAAATCTGCTGATGAAACAAAATAGAACCGAGGATAACATAAACGTTTAGTCTCTAAATAGTCATTAAGGGCTTTTTCACATAGTAGAAGCATTTTAAGTAATGTTTCCAGATGCTCATTAAGTTTACTACCCGATCGATTTGTAGATCGTACAACGTTCCGATCAGAATTCATTTGAGCCAATAGGGCTCTAAACTCCTTATCAATAAAATCAAAACGTTTTGAATCATCAGGCAGCTGTGAGCGTATGTCTTCAGAACCAATAAAAATACTTTCTAGATATTGCCATTTTCGTTGTACTTCAAACCAAGAACCAATGATTTGATCAGCATTTGACAGTTTCTGTTGCCAAGTTGAAACTTCGTGAAGGAAAAATGTAACATATTTCGATGAGATCATATTTTGTATTTGAGCTTGATGATCCTCGAGTGTTTCAATCATTTCTTCCGAGGCTTTCAATAATTTAATACCTGTACGTTCATGAATTTCTATGCCAAATTCCATAACGGCCCAAGCTGCTGCTATATCACGAAGTTGCTTTTCCATGTTCATTTCCTTTACAGATTTGTCAACAATATTTTTAACTTCTTCTTCGTATTCGTGTAGATTAAGATCGATAAGATACTTTAAGGTTGTAGAATCGTCCATGCTAAATTTTACTTGTGTAGTTTGCATTAGTTCAACCCAATGACGGTCTCTTATCGCTGGATTTTGAAGTTCAGTAACTGCTCTCAATGACGTCATTAAGTTTTTTAATGAAGCTTCCATAAATATAAATGGCTCCCAGGTGCGCATACTAGGATCTAATCCCCTTAATTCTCTACCAAACTTTTTACATTCTTGGTCCATTCCTTCGATATCAATTTTTTTCCATGGTGTTTTTTTCCAATCATTTATAGTGGACTCTATTGAAATAGCGAAATCCCACATTATTTTTGAAAGCTTCAAGTCATTTCGACAAAGTTCAATTTTTGCAGGATCTGGACCTTGTAATTCAAAAAGAACAGATGATTCTGTCAGTGCTTGCTGCCGTTGCTCTAATTCAACAATTTCCAAATCTGTTTCGTCAATAAGTTCATAACAATTGGGACAGGGAACATTAAAAAATTTCTTTTGCATAAATTTTTTTCTGTATGTATTAGCCATATTGTTGCACAGCAAAATGCGTTTCTCAATTTGGTCCACTTGATAGCTTTGTATTGGTGCAATAACTTGTTTTGTTACCGCTGCTTGCCGTTTAATTTTTTGCCATGCATCAGGAAGCTCATTAAGTTGTAACAGTTCCGTATCCCTGAACTCATATCCATATTTCCTAAGTAAATTTACTATTTCTCTTAAAGGTTCAAACATATTATCGAAGGTAAACTGCTTTTCGTTAATTTGGTTTAATATAGAAAGTATTTTAACCAATCCATCAAAATCATCTCTTTTGAGTTCCAATTTCAATACTACTTTGGCTTCATCTATAAAATCTTGCAATTCCTGAAAATAAAATTTTTCATTAGCAAATAGTAGTTAAACTATTATTATAAAATGTGACTTTAATTCGGTTGTGTAGTTTAAGGGATAAAAGTTTATATTTAATAGTGCAGACTTTGGGTAAAAAATCAGTATTTTTGGCATAAATCCAAATTATTTTTTTTTTTTTTGTTCAGTATCGGCCAACTGTTTTGATTTTCTCATTCAGAAAACTCCAGCCGACCTAAAAACAATTTTTATAAAATTTTGCGGACTAACAATAAAGTTTTAAGCTTCGTCAAAGTTATTTGACTCAAGGCTGCATGGTAAATCGAGAAAAGCGCTTGAAATCATGCTCATGAAGAGGAAAATGATACTGAAGACACCTATGAAAAGAAATGGAATGAATTGAATTGGAATAAGAAAATTATAACTAAAACTATATTCACGGTTAGCCCATAAAAGCCTGTCTGGGACTAGAATTTTCGTTTCAATAACAGGATGGACTCAAAAGCGAAAAGGGTGGGGGTTTGGCTGTATTTAAAAAAAAAAAAAATCCGAAATTATAAAAAAATCGTAATAGTATGTATACAAAATTTCAAGGGACAATTAATGCCTAAAATTGGCTTTTTACCCATAGTGCACTGGGGAGATACTGGTTAGAGGTTAGGTGTCCCCGTGAACCAACCACGCCGACCACGCCCACGCCCTCCCGCGTGCGAATGGGCTTCATTTGAAGTTAATTGGGTTACTACGGGCAGTAGACTGCCGACCGGGAAATTCCCAGAGTTGACGCCGGCGTTTTTTCAAACAGTTTTCACATCCATTTGCTCATCGAGAGGCTGAAGCCACGTCCAACTACCAGTTAGTATTCTATCACAATTTTACAGTGGGGCAGGCCACGCTAGATAGATTTGTTTATTGTTAATATATTTGTGAGTTAACGGGGATAAACAAAAAATCATGCAATATTGGTTTTGTGCAATGTTCGTCTTACTGTCCGTCCGTCTGTCCGTATGAATGCAGTCTATTTCGGCGCTATTGTTAAAATTTTCCAGATCCGTCCACTAAGGGCTTGGAAAATCGGAAAATTAGTTGCAAAAGTTTATATCTCCTACAGCTTAAGAGCTTGAAATTTTTATCGTTCGGGTACTAATAATCTCCTCCATCGATGTCCCAAAGAAATTGTTACACGTTTTTAGGGGCGTGGCATATCGAAAAATAACCTTGAATTTAGGTTACCGTGGCAATTCGAGAAAAATTTAATTTTCTACATTAGAGCAAAACCTGGATACTAAATTGCTGATGAGATGTGAATGAGTTTTCCGCAGTCGGTAACGCCCGACTGAAACGTTCTTACTTGTTTCACTCTTAAATTAATTCACTCAACGTTAAAAAATAATAAAATGATTGGCCAGTTAAAAAATGCACGTGCAGAAGCTACAATAGTTTTCCTATATGCGGGCACACATACATTCAAACCTATTCTAGCATATTCTTAGAATCACATAGCTGTTGTACTAGATGGCGCTGCATCAGTGAACTTTTTTCAGTTTTGCAATCACAGTTCCAAAAAGTTAGGTGGCGTTATTATATTTATATCACTTGGCCCGCCAAAAACCTTGTTCTTCACGAATGGTACTGTTGTGAATGAAACAAGCAATTCGAAATCAGATGACAACAGCTATGAAGAAACCGACCCGATTGGATTAACGAAAACAAAGCTCCAAGAAGAGTTCGCATATACTATCAGCTTGGAATCCTGTTTCTTCTTTTTCTTAAATTCAGATCCGGTCATCGAACGGCGATTTAAGTTTAAGAGAGAGTTAGAAAAATTACTTTTGCCTTATAAGGAGTGCTATAAAGAAGCTCATCAAAAAAAATCACAAACCATTTGGAAAATATGAATGATATGCATTTATTAAAGGCATATATATAATAACTTTTGGTCAATTTTGAAACAAATGTATGAAACTTTCATGTATGTACATTCCAAAGCAGAAGTCTCTAGTACTTGAGGGTGAGGAGTGAATTTAGGGGTGGGAGGTAAATTTTAACAAAAATCGAAATTATATAAATACACAAAAGTCTACACTTAAAATTTGGAAGCTCTAGCTCTAAAGGTGCAGAAGAAACTGGCTTTCGATAAGGTTTTTAATCGATAAAAAAATATCGGGTGTTGTTATCGTCTTTTGGTAATAAACTCGATATGCGCGCGATATATACGGACATTTCAAAAAAAGTTGAAGACTCTAGCTCTTATATCTTCTGAGATCGACGCGTTCATACATACGGACAGAC